AAGGGGGTGGGGTGGGGAGGAGTCGGGGTACTCGATGGTGTTGGATAAAAAGTTTTTTTTGGGGTGGGGTCGGGGTAAGTTAAGAAAAGAAAATCTTCTTTACTAGTATTTTTTAGCATTTAATTATTTGAATGTTTTTTTCTTTTTTTTTTTACTACATATATTTAACATAAAATTTCACATATGTGCATAGGTGGACGACATGTGACATAAGAGGGGTGTTTTTAAATTACTTAATCAAGTAGAAATGTGTTTTTAAGACTGTCAATAGTTGGAGGACTAAGGTAATAGTTTACGTCAAGTTTAGAGCTGTTTTTAATACTTATTGGTTGATAAGTGAGCTAATTATTTATCAAGTGCATATTGTTTGACAACTCAAAAATTTGAATATAACAAGGAATGACATAGTTATGTACCAAAATATTTCAAAATTAGGACCACCAAGATCACTATTGATATACATTATGGTCTTTTTGTTATCATTACATAATTTAGTTAATATGTGTAGTGCATACTTATGATAATATATAATATTTATTAGTTTGACGATTTTTTAAAATTCAATCAGTTAACAAAAAAGATATATAATATTTATAAGATGACGAGGATATATATACACTGTTTGATAACAATTAAAGATATATATGCATATCAGTCTTTGAATGACCCTAAAGAATATATATTGTAAAGTTGAGGAGTATAGTTGTCCTTCTCCCCTTTTAATAACTAACCAAAAAATCATTATGATATATAATCAAATATTTTAAAAATAATTATATCCAAACGGCTCTTACTAAAAAATTATTAATCTAAAAAACCTATATATGTAGATAGTGCGTGCAAGTAATAATTTTTTTTAAAAATCACAGCTAGCATTGAGCCTTGTAAATGTCATCATAGCCAGTGCAGCAAGAAAAGGAAACCAATTAAAAGGGCAAAAAGACATAGTAGATGGTGTGCACTCATCTTTTTATATTCAAATCTTTCTTGGTGGCAACAACACATCCAATTTGTCTCAACATTCCATACTAACTTATTTTTTTTTAGTGTTTGATATTTATATTAAAGCTCGATAAATTAAAATTTGCATATTATACGACCCATTTTTGAGTGCTTTAAATAAAAAAAAATTCATTGTTAAAGATTTGAATTCAATTTTTTTAATTAAGAGTCGAGGCTAGGAATTCCAAAAAGGGTGAATTTACATGTTAAAAATGAGATATATGAACTTATGATTTCTCTATAAGTAATATTACCATATATATATATATTAATATTATTTGTTAACACGTATGCTACGATAAGGCCAAATTGCCCATTAGTTTAATGTTGATGGTGCCCACTCTATCTTTTCCTATACCAATCTTTCTTGGTGGCAACAAACATCCAATTTGTCTACATTCAATACTTCCTTCTTTTTATGTTTGATATTTATATTAGGGTCCAATTAAATTTAAATTCATCTGTTATAAGGTCCATTTTAATTATGCACTTCCAATAAGATACTCTAATTTATTAAGGGAGATCTCAATCTTCCCATTCAATACAAAATACAGCAAGCAAAGCACTTCTCTCATTCTATAAAAACATAATCCCAAACAACACAACTTCTCTCTAACGAAAAAAAATTCTCCTCTTTCCCCTTATAAAATAGTTTCTTTATATTTATTTTCCTTGTTCATACTCTTACAATGGAATATCACAAAGAGGTAATTAAGAGGCTATCTTTGTTAATTAATCCACATATTGTTGGCTGTCTTCTTTTGCATTTTGTTGCTAATTTTTTTGATAATCACAAGATTTCTTTCTTTTATTCTTTCTTCAAAAATTAAGATAAACATTAGGTTTCCTTCTTTATTTTCTTGTTCTTAAATCTTTCTTGTTATCATAGTATATATGTCTTTATTTGTGGCTTATAACTTATCAGTTTCGTCAAACTTCTAAAATTTATTTATTTTAATTGGTCAGGTCTGTGTTTTTAAAGTTACTTTTAATAAGTAGCATTTTATGTTATGATTTGACTAATATTAGAATAACAAATTGTGTTTGATAGCTTTTGCTACTATTTAAAAGTATTTTTTTTCTTCTAAAAACTTGGACAAACACATCAATTCTTTAAAATATACTGTATATCTCTTCTTCTTCTTTTAAAATATTTTTTAACTTCTCATAAATTTGGCCAAATAAACTATTAGTCTAGCTAGTAGCACTATTAAAAAACATTGAAATTAATCGTTATTTTACTGGTAGATAAAGAATTTTTTTTAATTCATTGCTAAATAGGATTAGTGACGAATTGTGCAGTTTATTGCTACAAAATTTGTCCGTCGCTAAATCCTGTTTTTTCAGTAGTGTTGGAAATTTATTGGTGGTTCAAATTTTTGAAGAAGTTATTCATCTTTTTAATTAATATTGGTTGTAGATCAATCAATTTATGACATATTTGATATTTCTAAAAATAAAAGATGTACATATTAATTTATTGATTGTAAGTTTCTCTTATTGTGCAGAAGAAGACTGGACCATGGCTATCTGTGCCACAATTTGGACATTGGGATCAAAAGGGTGTCTACCCTGACTACTCAATGGATTTTTCTAAAATAAGAGAAAATAGGAAACAAAACAAAAAGGACTTATCAAGAGCAAGTTTTGGAAATGAGAATGACCTCATTTTCTCTACCAAAAGTGATGCAAATTCAGTTTACTTTCCCAACAGTAATGATCATCATTACCATCAGAACCAATCTTCAACTGTAAGATTTTCAATTTTTTTTAATGCTAGTGCGATCTATAGGTCATGCATTCGAGTTGTGGTATCAACAACTGATATTGTGTTAGGATAAGTTGTCTACAACTCACCCCTTGGATTATGGCCGTTTCATGTACCTTGTGTGAATGCAGGATGCGTTGTGCACTAGGTTGTCATCGTTTAGTTTGTTGTAATTTTGAAGAGGAGAACCTCAGAGCAATAGTAGAATTGTCTCTATGTGACTTATAAGTCATGGATTCGAATCGTAGAATTAACCATTGATATTATTGTGCACTAAACGTGGAATGTGTTGTGCACTAGTCTACCTTTTAGTTTGTTGTGTTTTTACCATCTTTAAATAATGTCATTACTTATAGGGTTTTTAATTAATATTCCAAGATGTAAATGGTAAACAATACATGAATAAGATAAATAGTTGACATAATTTTGGGAAAAGATATATAGTGGGGTACATGTTGTAGGACCATTGTTGAGGACAATGCTTAGTTGTCCATATAGAAATGTTGACCTTGTTGATCATTAGATGGAAATAAACCAAATATTCTTCTATAATTTGTTTGACTTAGTACTAATTATTATAACAATTGGTTTACTAATTAAAAAGAATGTATAATTGTTCTCTTAGCATCTAAGAGTGTGGCCTAACGATCAATTACATGGGTGAAAATTAAAAAAGTTGTGCATTTTTGAATGATTCAACAATATCTTTTAGGAAGTCTGAACAATACTAAATAGGAGGGTTACTATACTCTTCTTTGCATTTTTTAGCATAGTGAACTATAAAAGTAATTGTTAATTTAATTTTTTTTTCTCTTTTGACAGAGGATGAGAAGGATCTTTAGATATTTCAGTTGCTGTGGAAAAGCTTGAAGTTCATGGAATTGATTTCTTCCAATTTCCTTGTAAAGAAAATCTAGCAAATTTGTGATTTCTACCCAAGTTTTGAGTGACTTTTATAAAAAATAGGAAAATGTAATGAATTTTGGAAATTGTGGTGATTGCTTCTTACCATCCTTTGCTTCTCTTGGGTACATTTGAGATTGATCTATATGTAATTTGATCGAGTATATTTAATTTTCAAATTAATATAAACGTACAATTTTAGTTTCTTCAGCTGACGGAAGTTAAGAAATTAACGAAATCAATAAAATCTATATATATAAAAAACAACTTGCCTATACTCTATTATTTTTAGCCAAAACAATGAAAATTCACATTGTGTATCTCTTATATATGCAAATTTTGTTCTATATGTATTTGTGTTAGTTGTGCACTTTTTTTTTGGCCAAATTTGTAACAGATATAACTAAAATTTGATCATTTTTACCAAATAAGAAAGAAAAAAAAGATAACTAAATAGTGGAGTTCTAAAAGTTATTCTTTAATTAAAATTTTGACTTGTAAAAGATGATTTAAATGAATTTAAAAATAGGGAAAAGTGGCAAAATATTCCTTAAAGTAAATATATCCTCGTTAAAAAAGTGACACATTTAAAAAAAAAACTGGGGTGGTAAAGGAGAAATGGAGGAGGGAATTACAATGTGGGGAATTGACCCTCGTCACAAAGTGAGAGTTCAGGTAACCAACTAAACTACATATATATCTTCATCGTCTAACAAATAGAGCAAATGTATCATTTTTGTTAACAGACTTATACTCCCTAAGTTTTAATTTGTTTGCCCTACTTTCCTTTTTAGTTTATTTCAAAAAGATGTCTTTTTTTCTTTTTAACAATTCATTAGTTCCAATTTTACACGTGACATGTTTAATATCATAATATTAAAGAGCATTTTAATACATTCCACATATCTTTAATTTAAAATAAAAGATCCAAAACAAATTCTTTATTTTTATAAATTTTGTGTTATCAAAATGAAACAAATAAATTAAAACGAAAGTTAGCTAGCTTAAAAAAAAAGAAGCAAATATTACTTCTGAATTTCTGTGTGGTGGTTTAAACAACACGCCAAACCTTATCAACGGAGCTTCTAGTTTATCCCAAAAAATTCCCCCAATTATTTTTCGAGAAAAAAAAAATGTCAAATTCTACATCATCTCTCTTCACTACGCCTTCTCAATTTTTAGTACAATGTAATAACCCATTAATTATTTCTGGAAAATTGAGCTTCAAAATTCGAGCTTCAGCAGCTTCTTCTTCTCCTTCATCAACTGGTGTTGATTTGTCCAACCTCCAAACCGCCATTTCTAAGGTGCATTCCCTGTTTTTCAATTGAAAATTTTAATTCTGTCTCCATTTTGTGCGTATTAGAATTGTCTTGTCATTTTTGAGGTGTGTGTCGATAAATAATTAAGACATAATACATGAACATTACCTTTAACTTGACACAAGTAGGGTGTGCATAAGTAGACACTCAAACTGGTATAAAATTGATTAAATAGATACATTCGTCCTACATGACGACAATTTTGTGTCCTGCGTGTATAATGTCACATAGGATAAGTGTATCTACTTATTCAATTTTATACAAGTTTAAGTGTCTACTTATGCACTCTCAAATTTGGAGGGCATAGTTGTCAATTGAAGCCAAGTTAAGGGTATGTTTATGTATTATGTCAATAATTAATGATGCTCTATTTTAGATATGAAACTCGCAAAAAAGTGATGCTTAAAGTGTTTTTTTTTTTGGCAATTACTCTTTAACTGTTGTATGTGCATATTTTCTTGATTGTAGAAAGATAGTAATGCCGTAAAAGAGGCGCTTGATCAGCTAGTTGAAATCGGTTGGTCCAAAAAGTGGGGTTCTCAACCATATGTGTCACGTCGAACGGTCAGTTTTCATTTAAGATGTGAAGGTTTTAGAAAGACCAATATGTATCTATCTGTTATCTAATTTATTTGATTAGCACACATTGTGGCAATAATTCTCTGTAATGGTCTGAAAATTTTCACTTCCAGACATCTCTTAGAGAGCTGACAACTCTCGGAATAAAGAACGCAGAGAACCTTGCAATCCCAAGTGTCAGAAATGATGTAAGTTTCTTGATGAAATTTGTGTTGTTATTACACTGATGACAGTAGCTCTCAATTTGGATATTGTTCTGTATTATGGTTGAAGCAAACAATATGTTCACAAGGGTGAGATAATTAAGGGGAACATTTGAGCCAATGTCTTGTTTTTGACACATATATTGTTCGATCTATTTCGTATAGTGGAAATGAATTTAGGACTACACATTTATTACGTTTCATTCGTAGTCCCTACAAACACATTTCATGGCTCCAATTGTTGTTACTTGAAACATCAAAAGTTGTTTAACAAACAGATGATTAATGTGGTTATGTCTTTTTAATTTGACTGTTTTGTACTCCGTTATTAAATCTGTTTGATACTGATTTCCTTCAGTGATGCAGGCAGCTTTTCTGTTTACGGTGGTAGGCACGACAGGATTTTTGGGAGTTCTTGCTGGCCAACTTCCTGGTGTAAGTTCTCTTACTACCCTACTTTTGTGCTGTTCATTGTGCTTTATTTCCCCCCGAAGTTTCGTATAACATCTAAATAATTAGTTCCTCTTAAGGAGCAGAGTACTTTTGTTTATAAGCCTCATTCTCACTGTCAAGTATGTGGATAACGCACTGGATATGGGGTCTGAGTCTTTCATTTGGTTCTATTGTTATAGTCAATCTAGATAACTATATCTAGTTTGGTTTCGTGGGATTACAATCTCTCGATTTATTATCTGGACGAAAACCAAGTTGACAATCCTAAGAGGTGTTGGGGTGGGATTGTAGTTCAACACCCCACGTCTTTCTAACTATTGACCACTTGTTTAATAGTGTGAATCACCTCATCGAAAAGGTTAATTTGTTAAATAGACGAAACTTTTGTTTGTTCATTACAAATTAACATGTCTCGTACCCAAGGGTGTGGCTTAGTGGTCAATGAAGTGAGTTGAGAATCTTGAAGTCTCAGGTTCAATTCCCAAACGAAGGCAAAAAACACTAGGTGGTTTCTTTCCATTTTTCACCAAGCTTTGGTGGATAGAATATCCAGCACCTGTGCTTGTAGCAACTAGTAGGTACCCCGTGAAATTAGTCGAGAAGATTAACAGCATGTTAATTCCCATATTTCTGCACCAGAACATTTATTCGGAACCTATATAAAAATATTACGGATGTATGTTGCGTCAGCAAAGAAGTACTTTTGTAGGTTATTTGCAAAAATGTAATAATGCACGCAATTGTCAGATTATTCTGTTCGCCTTGGTGTTACTCCCGAACCAAAATGGGCTGTGAAGTACATTGATGATATTACTGTGTATCTGTATAGAACATATACATGCAGGTCACATTGTTGATTCCTTCTTTATGTTTTCAGGATTGGGGTTTCTTCGTTCCATACTTGATTGGAAGCATATCTTTAGTAGTTTTGGGAATCGGAAGTACTTCCCCAGCGTAAGTCAAGATTTTAGGCGTTCTTTTGATTCTAATAATGCATTATACTATATATTCAGTTGAGCTTTTTCTACTGCATGCAGGTCGTTATGGCTCATTCTTTTATTCATTATGTAGGCTCCTTCAGGCCGCCATTGATGGATTTTCATCCTTTTTTCCTGATTACCAGGAGAGAATCGCCAGACATGAAGCAGCTCATTTCTTAGGTGACATCCTGTTTTAGTTTTCAATATTTTATACTTTTATTTTTATTTGGCTATGATAATGACATGAGTTGAGCTTAAATGAAACATTGAAGATTCATATAACATGAACTTCGACTAGGATTTGTTATTGTTATTTGGTTATGATAATGACATCGAGGCATAGTTGTTATTGTTGTTGTGCTTCTGCGGTTCCATTAACTTTCCTCTATTAAGCTGTACAATGTCAATTTCAGTTTCCTACCTAATTGGTGTTCCGATCCTTGGATATTCACTGGATATTGGGAAAGAGCATGTCAATTTAATTGATGAAAGGTTGGAAAAGCTTATATACAGTGGCCAGCTTGACTCAAAAGAACTCGACAGGTATCGACTTCGAAAGAATCTCATCTACAATCAATTAATTACTCCTTTCGTCTTTGTTTATGTGGCACCGTTTGACTTTGCACAAAGTTTAAGAAAAAAGAGAAGACTTTTGAATCTTGTCGTCTAAACCAAACCTTAGACATTTGTATGGTTGTAAATCTATATAAAAGACATTCTTATGTGTCACGTAAATTGGAACACATGGAGTACTTGCTATCAAAGGCGAGAATGGAATGCTTTAGCTACGGGTCCGGTCCATCGGAACCTTATAAAACGTCACTAATAAGTACAAATAATTGATTTCAAACCCAGTAAACCAAATAATTTGTGGTAGAATTTCTACCTCGAACCATAATGTTCAAATCCTGCATCTGCCTCTGCTTGCTATATGTAGGTATTTTGTCAGATATCTGCAGCAAGTTATATTTTCACATGAAGTATCATTGCTTCTAAAATTTTCACCGGAAACAAAAATTATTTACGAGTAGTTGCATTTCTCAGGTTGGCAGTGGTAGCGATGGCCGGGCTAGCAGCAGAAGGGCTAAAGTATGATAAAGTTGTTGGTCAATCAGCTGACCTTTTCACTCTTCAGGTTTAGTAAACACTATCTTGGAGTTAAATTGCCCTTTTTCTGGAACCATTAATCCAAAAGCTGTTGCTCTTTGTCTTCACAGAGATTTCTAAACAGGAGCAAGCCGTCGCTTAGCAAAGATCAGCAACAGAACCTTACAAGATGGGCGGTGAGTCTAAAACCGAACACATACTGTGATAAATATACACAAACTGTTGAAATATATAACATAATTAAGTAATTGAAAGTGTGTTCGTCTCTAGTAGTTTAAACTTTCATATGAAATCATCACACACTTCAACATGGTATCAGAGCACATCACAGGGCATGGTGAGACATAATATAACTACGTAATTAAAAGTATGTGATGAGATGGTCACATACTTCATCATACAAACATATATATACAAAATTCAAGATGCATACACACACAGATTGTTGGCTTTGCTACTTTTAAGCTACCCGAAGACATCGATTATAATGTTGCAAGCAAATCCAAGCATGACCATTATATATTCTGATTAAATTTTTGCAGGTTCTATTTGCTGCTTCACTACTGAAAAATAATAGCAAGCTTCATGAAGCCCTAATAACGGCAATGACAAACAAGGCATCGGTCGTAGAATGCATAGAAGCAATTGAGAAGGCAGCTTGATCTTACCCCACAAATGTGACAATACACTTGTACATGAAAAACATGTGATTTTTTCTCATAAATTTGAAAATACATCGAAGAACAGAAAGAAGTATATATATAAACATGCTGAAAAGAGAATGTATTCTATTTTTTTGACATTGATGTTGAACATATGAAATGTCACCAGAAATGTGAAATATTACATGTACGAGTTGTAGAGTTTTCGAGTTTCCTACTTGAACTATCACCAACTATTTAGGTGAAGATAGAATAATTAAGTGATTTTAAAATATGATATGAAGCAAGCATATTCAAGTGTACATACCCCATAGACACTGTATAATAGAAACCTTATTCATTTCGAATTATCACATAACACAAAATAAACACTCCTATTACAGCGCATCAATATAGTTGTTGTTTACACAATACTAAATCACCAATAGGCAAAATATGCATTAAACATGCTTATTCCTAAAATCATATTATTTAACAACTGATGTGTCACGCCCTGAGCCTACACCCTGGGCGGGATCGGCACTCGGAGACCATTGCTGGCCCCAAGAGAACCCTTGGCCTGGCTTTCTTAACTCAGCGGAAACCTGACTCAACAGAATAACTCAATGCCATGCAAAGACATAAACAACTTAACTAATAAAAATATGGCCCAAAGGGCAACTCGAGTCTCAAAATAGAATATTTACATATA